ACCCGGCCAAGCTATTTGGGTAAAACTAGACCAATCTAAAATAATAAATCATAGAAATAGGTTGTCAAACTAAAAATATTTTTCTTACAGATAAGCAAGTGATGTGTTAAAAAATATTTTAAAAATAAAAACCATTATGTTCGCTGGGTAGCAAGCTTTGATTCCAAACGTACGACAACCAGCTAAAATTAAATTCGGAAACAAAAGTTTTTCCTGTTGGTTTACATGTTAAATGATATGCGAGTTGTAAACATTGTTTTCCTGTCTTCATTTAAATTGGGTTAGTAGTTTTAATTTATTATATAGTGGCCAATGACACTTTTTCTTCACCTCACCTATCCAGTGTATAGGTTTTTCTCATAGTAACTACAATACATGTTCACACCAACATTATGTTTGATACTTTTCACTATGATGTAGGTCCAGCTTATCTCTCTTTGATTAACTTGTGTTTAGGGTTACTGATGAGGAGTGGAATTCTCCGAAACTAGTAGCCCAATTACACACGTTGATCAAAGTGTAGATTGAACTGGACATCCCTTGAACTTTGAATTCGAGATTAAACAATTTTCGGAATATTAAGTTTATTTATTAGAAATTTAACGTTTTAACAGTAATTAACCACATAGAAAATGTGATTAAAATATAGAAGTTGAAAAATTGATGCCTTAGGAAAAACTGACATTTATAACCTTTCTTTAACCTACGCTGATTTTGTATCTAACTGTACCCCAACCCCCTCTACTCTAACCTCCTTAACCTAAACTGATTTTCCCTCTAACTTTGCCTCCCGCCCTTCCACTCGTCCTTTACCTAAGCTGATTTTGTTTTTAATGGGCTTCCAATCCCTTTTAATAATATAGATTGAAAATATTAATTTGTTGAAAGAATACGTAAAGGAAAAATAAAACAGCACCAAAAGTTTTTTAGAATAATTGGAAATTCTTGTTTTAGCGAAAAGCTACACGTGGTGATCTATCATCCGTGTGGAATCGAACCCAGAATATTAGAGTTGTATTAGAGCTGAACCACCGAGGAATAACTTAGAAATTGAATGGAGGATATGCACGTGATAAATATTCATGTATTCAATTAAGCCGTCTTCAAAATTTTCAAAGATGAGTTGTGTCTAGATGTTCTATGGGATACTTTTTCATCGGATAATGAACGTTTATGTAAGAAAAATAAAATATTAGAAGTAACAAGAAGTTTTAATGCATGGGCAAATTTTATAGCAAAACTTATGGAGGGAATTAAAATGGATAATGGATAAAATAGTATAATGAATTTAGACCTGGTGGTTATGATGCTGGACTCGCAATCTGAGGGCCACGAGTTCGAATCTCCATCACCGAACATGCTCACTCTATATGGTTACAGGGTATAAAAATTATTGTCTTATTAAAATACTGGCTGACCGCTATTGTTCTAAAAAGGACTGATCTCAAGCATGATTAATTGCGCTTTAACAGGTTACGAAGATTTGGTTGGTTGTTTGGTGCTTTATGGCGCAAAGAAGCGAGGCTATCTGCGCCAGGTTATGAAGAAATGTAACAGAAACTATCCACTGTTTTACAACTTAACGATATCTGTCATACAGAAAAACAAATTCTACAGGATTTACCACTATTTGATATAATACAGCCTATAAGAAATAATCCAATAATATAAAATTGTGCATATTTATGACAATTTATTACAAACATTGGCTAAGTGTGACCCAGTGGTAGGCGTGCTGGGCTGCTGGTCATAATGTCCACGCTGCCATATAATGCTAAACACGTTCTTTTAAAGTTGGGGGAGGTAACAGCCTCCAAAGTCAATTCCGTTATAATTGTCTTAGGTGGCTGTTGTTAAATGTTTAATTGCCCTCCGTCTGGTAGAACCTTAAATTAGGAATAGTTAACCCAGAACCCCTGGAGTCTAATCATTGAGCAAATGTCTCGCATAAGGTGCCGTTCCGGATGAAAATACAAAATAATACAGAAAGATGAGAAAAAGAAACCTGTAACAGCTTGTAATTCCATAATTCGCCATTTATCTGCTAGTCAGATCGCTTTTGGAGAGTTCCAGCCCTCATCAGTAACACTGGACACGAGTAAATTGAACGAGACCAGGCCACCTCTAGTAGTTCATGTGCATGATGTTCGGTGAGTAAAGAACAACCTAAACGCTGTACACATGAATTTGTTCTATTATATCCCTTTAACATCGACTAGATTCTTTAAATCTTGTCACGAAATACATATAAAAAAACATCGTTCAGCAGACGATGTGGAATCGTAAGTTTCACGGTTTTATTGATGCCTCGTATCTGTAATGTTAACAAAATGGCATACCTTTATTAATTAAAGACATTCCTCGGTAGCTTAGAGGTCAGCACGAGGTCTCATAAAAAGCTAAAATTTCGGGGTTCGATACCTACTGCTAATACAGCGCAGATAACCCATTACACAGCTTTATGCTTAAACAAAGAAATTAGCACTCGATCAAGGATTCCATCGTTATTTTATTAGCTTCGTTTTATTAAGTTTGAACTTAAATCAAAAACCTCTAGCAATAAAAACAAAAGTAACATCTTATAAACAACTTCTAATATTTTTATTTCATAATAATAATTTAAGATATGTTGATTACCCAATTCGTCCACGTTTACTACAGCATAATCAAGTTCGAAGAATGCACGATGTAACCTACCCAATGACTGATCGTCAAAACCAGTCACATCTACTCCTAGATTATACAACTTCCACACGATTTACATAAAGCGGAAATAACTAAAGAAAAGTATTCATATAGTGTTATCTCTCAAATTAGTGTTATTTTAAAATGTACAACTTTCTTTCTGGTGCATATCTAGGTTAACCATATTATATGGTTTGTTTACTGTAAAACTGAACTATTGGCTATCTGCGCTGTGTCCAGAGCAGGGATTGAACACCGAATCTCAAAGTTATAAGCCCTCAAACGTGCCGTTGAGCCACAGGGGAATATTATTTAGAATGCGCATGATATGTGAAAAAAACAAAGAAAATAAAAATAATTAACAAAATCAAGCCTTTTTTAAATTAAAAAAAAAGAATAATTAATACAATTGATTCATATCCTAAGAGTTATATAATAAAGTACAATTCCCTAACTAATTGGGTCCTCTGGTGTGAAGGTTTATAAACCTAAAATGTGGATCACGCAAGTGACTATCTCATATTAGATTAACTGTAATCCCATCCATTCGTTTTCCCGAAAATAACGATGCAATTTTCTGCTAAGCCCTCAACTGGAAATTTTTTCTTTTACGTTCGTTAACACAGTGACTACAGATAGTTTGATGCAAGTTATTAGTGTAGAGTATTAGCAGCTATACAACTATTTATACCTGTAACATATTACCATGTAGGATAGAAATAAGTTTGCTATTTAACTTAAAATAATCAACTAACAAAGTACTGACACTAAAGTAACACAAGTTTTTAACTCATTTGTATTTTTTAAAGGCTACCTTTTAGCGTACAAAACAAAATCCAGTTGCATCATTAGAGATCAATATTTGTAAGTAGTTTTGGCTATCGACAAAAGTTCGTCACTGAAAAAAAAAAAAACTGGCGTTTTGCTTTTAATATTGAAACAAGGTACAAGAGTAGGTGAACGTGTTCTTCTAACGTTGATGCAACACGGTGTTCATTCTTCAGACAGCTTTAAACTTTTCATGATTCAAATATTGTAAACCTATGATAACATTAATATGCATAAAATATTTTAGAATTTGCATAGTTCCTAGTCTATCTGAAGGATGTGGCAAATTTGAAGGAAAAGGTTTAAAGAACGACAAAAACTACCTTGAGATAAAGTGTTGATAAACATTCAAGTAGGAATACATAATAAATTTGAAAGTAAGTATAAAGATCACTCCACCAAAGCCTCCAGTGTAACCCAAAAACATATATTAAAAATACATTACTAGAATTTTGAGACACGTTTTTTTTTCATTCACGAGAAAAACAAATGAAACCAAAATGACAAGCAAGTGATCTAAATATTGTTCCTTGAAACTATTTTATCTCGCATTATAAATATCTCTTCAAATTTAAAAACTAGAGTTTTTGCTGGACTAGCTTCTTCACATTTAACAATAGGATTTCAATTTTGAAAGACTAAGTCCTTAGGAGATATAACTGCATTTATTTGATCTGTATTAATAAGCTATATCAGGTTTCATTTTCCATACAAAAAAAAACAAACAATCAAACCAGAAATATAATCTCTTATGTTTTTTGTATGAATTACAGTGTGTTATTAAATAAGAAAAAGTAAATAATCAAGTAATTACAAAGATTTGCTTAACTTTGAAAACATCGCAACATTTCCCACTCATTGTTGAGTAAGCTTAACAAGTAGTTTTATACACTTTTCAAACTTATGTTCATTACATAAACTATTTTTTCCTTGTAACTACTGCTCCTGTTCTTAAACTACTGCTCCTGTTCTTGAAGAACAGGACATTTATTACAGCCGAAATTAACTTTGAAAAAGAAAATTATTAAATTGCTATAGCATGTCAAGTAACATAAATCATTGACTGGCTCAAATTATTATGCAAACAAAGGCTTACTCAATGTTTTACATTCTTATATACATTACTATTAACTATGTCTATTTTATAGCATGCTGTCTGTACAAACTGGAATATTAAGTTTGATGATACAGTACATATTAACACTTTGCAACAGAAAATTTCTTTTTTAAAACTAATACTGAAAAAAATGACAACAAAGCTGTCTATACAACCAAATGGTGAAACAATGATTGTATAATAAACACACACACACACAACAGAAAACTTCCCAACTTGAGTGTCAACTGCGTAAAATTCCTTTGACTTTTATACATTACTCAATAAATCATGATTTCTGCTGGATAAAGATAATAGTTCTCCATTCCTTGCTGAATTCATACAATAAAACTATAATCTTAGTTATATTTTATGATTTTCTTACAGTTTGTCTGAAATGATCTTAAATGCCAATTGGTCATATTTTAATATACGAATCAATAAGTATATCGTTTGCAATTCTCAACATTATTTAGCATCGCCTCAAAAAATTATCATAATTGTGGCACTCATTCAAAGGTTTATTGATAAAAACTGGATATTAATTGAATTAGGTCCATATAATTTTTTAGTCATATTATCTTTCAGCAACCTATACTGGCAACATTGCCATTCAGTATCTTGAAGACTGGCTAGAATTCTATAAAGATACTACATTATTCTCTTGTTTCTGTATAGAGCTTCCTTAGATCTAAACAACACAATTTTCCAAATAACCGTTTCCTCATACTTAAATCCAATATATCCACACAAAAATTAGAATAATGTCATTACTGGGTTTAGTGAAAGTTTTTATTAGTTTGGTATCTTTTATTTATTCAAAATATCCATAAGTATCTGAGGAATATTTTTATAAAGCCCACCATAAGGGTATTTTTCACATCATAAGTCACTTTAAAAGATCACTTCCTAAAACTAAAAGGGAAAATTGCTAAGTTTCTATAACATGTCAAATAATATATGTTGTTGTTATGACTACAGTTTTACTTTAACTAGAAATTTAATTTTTCATGCATTTCACAAATTGGTTTGAAATGCAACTCCACAAATCATTTGGCTTCAACATAAAAATAAATGCTAAAGAGATTTTTTAGCACAAAAAACCTATCCCTTCTGGAACCAGCAGTTCAAATGGGATCACAAAGAACATGCAACAAGTATCTCTCAACTTTCATTTCTTTAATTTTTTGTAAATGCTAGTATATTCAAGTTGCTACCTCTTTCCAACTTCACTTGTTGTGCTACGGGAAAAGTATTTTTTTTGTTTCTTCCTAAGCATTGTCATGGAATGTAACTCCTATTTTCTTTCTTTTTTTTTGTGGACTTACAAGTTATATAATGCAAGGAATATCTTAAGACGAAAACTGATAACGAAATCACGTTTTTTTTTTCATTCTACAAATGATTTAGTGTAGTGGAAGTGTTATTGACAGTATAAAATAAATACTTCAAAAAAATCAAATGTTTTTAACCACAAAATTTACATTTTTGAAAGAATAGCTGTTTTTATGTTTCTCTGTATTTCATTAAAAACTATCTTTAACACAGAACAAAAACTCATACTATTCAAAAAGTTTTCAGGAACTTTTAAAAAAACCTTAAGAAAGCTACTTCTAATATATCGTAAATAGTCAAATCAACATTTTTTTTTTTTGCATTATATCATTTAACAAGGAGTTATCACAGTTTTACTAAATGAAAATTCTTCATAACCTAATAAATTTTCTCACAGCTTAAATCTGAAATCAGATGTTGAAACTTCATTTACACTCAATTCAACAACTGCAAAAGCATTCAAATTCTGTCACTGAATTTGTGCTGGTAACAAAAATATTCAACAAAATAAAAAGAAAATATATTCATTTGTTCTCTGAATAAAACACACTGAACTAAAAAAATCTTCATAATGTTCCTTGAAAGTTATATTCTTTATAAAGTGTCTCTAAACTCAATTTGAGTTCACGGCTAAACTTAGAAACTGTACACTAACCCATTATTCATGGTTTTCATTTAAAATAGTAGTATAACTCATCTCTCTCTTGATATCCGTTATTGGCAGTGTATACATTGTCTCCTGCCACATCAGTGACGGTCTTTACATGACAATCAAATAAGTAATGGCAACAACATTTTTTACCCTGGCCAGAAAGGTGATGTCTGTTCAGTTTCCTTTGAGCTTATTACTAGTTAGTAGCTTTTAAGTCATAGTTAAAATAGTGACATTATTCAATAAATCTCCAAACACACCAGTAATGGCTTTTATGTCACAGCTCAAATAATGGTATCATTCAGTTTTCTCCAAATGTATCACAACTGGATTTTATGTCAAAAGAGGTGTCTTCTTAATTTATTCCAACAATTCATAATGGCTTTTATGTCATACTCAGTTTTCTTTAAGCGTATTAGTAGGTATAACTAGTAGCTTATATACTGTCATAATTAAACATATTGTATTTTTACGATGAACAGGCTGATCTTCAATACAGCATACATCTTCTTCCTCATACCTTGTACTCTTCAATTTTTCTAATGATTTCATTTACTGCTTCTTCTGAATTGTACTCTGAACTTAGATAATACAATTTCACAGAGTCTTGGATGTAACATTCTACCACCTTCCAGTGTTCAAATAACTTCACAGCATTCTTGAGTTGATTAGCTGCAAAGCACTCCTCTGTAAGCATATTAAGAAAATCTATATTTTCAAAACAAAAACTCTTAACGACGTTCAGAATGTCAAATAAAACACAACTTTGACAATATCAAACACTTAGATAGATTACAAATAGTTCCTGATAATGTATATGTCACAGTTACAGTAAAAAATAAGAAAGAAAACACTGGATAAAGTATTTTACTACAAAATCTCTTACAATCACATCTTTTTTTAGAATCCAAGCACAAGTTGAAACAAAATTATAATTTGTTCTAAGAGGAAACTGAAAAAAGCAAAATCTGTAAACAGCTTGTACTTCCTTGGGGGTGATTTCTCACTTCCAATTATAAACTAACAAAGCAAGCTACAAGTTCTTTACAAAAGGTTTGCAGTACTGTCAGTACAACTATGGCAAATACTATATTTTAATCTTATACACATCTAAAATGTGTATTAACTTTCTAAGTCAAGGCAAATTTTATAATTAAAAAACAAAAACTTTGAACTAAAAATTCTTATTACATACATTATAAAACATGTTACTCTTTTTAACAATTACTTTTATACAATTTCTACATCTTCCAAAGATTAAGGCTACTGTCTGTTGCTTGCAATAAAATATCAAGCAGATATCAAAACTGTATGTCAACTTTATTTACACAAAATTATCAGAAACTGTATTCAAAGTAATGTTATTACAACTTTATGTGCTGTACCACAAAAATATTAAAAAAAAACTGTGATAACCAGAAAGAATTTTGTTTATATTTTAAGTTATTATGCTGTTTCATAAAATACATGCACCATTTATAGCAAGTAATTGATTCAACTGCTAGAAGGTTTGAAAAAAAAATAAGTCACAGAACTCTTCATGCTATACCCACAGAATAATACATAATATTCCAAAACAAATATTACCATAAACTATTAGTCCCTGCTGCAACCTTTCCTTTGCTGTCTTGTGGATTTCTTGTAGGAAAATACTTTCTGCAAGTGAAAACAAATATTATGTAGTGTTTATAAATTGCCCCTTACTCCTCCAAACATATCTTTCTACAGTAGTCCCTAGTGGATAAAACCCCTCCCAATAATGACTTCCTTTTAAATACAATGTTTTTCTGTGTATGGAATGATTTTACATTGATCAGATCTCCCACGAATGACTTGCTGACAGATGTGACATACGACCATGATTTTTGGGTGAAAGGTCAAATAACTTTTCTTTAAATCAATAATATAATTTATAGAAACACATGAATACAGTGTATACAGTATGTAACAAAGAGGTCACATGACCACAGATTGCTTCACAGCTTAGCATATGTATCTTGGTAGCCCTGGGTGTTCAAGTCAAACTTCTTGGTACATACACATAGGTATTTTGGTTTAAAAGACAACCAGGGGCAGTCAGAAACTGTTGTTTGTCTTTGTCCCGCTCATGGAATTAAGGTTTATTCTTTTAGTGAATGTATTAGATTTTGAGCTAGTGGACTATACGTTAAGTAACTTGATTAGAATTTACTAGTGGGGTGTGAAAATTATTAACTTGCGGGTTGTTGAGTGACAGACTCGACTAATCTGTGCAGTAAACATGGCTAATGAAATGCCTCAAAGCAATGGGGAAAGCTGTGAATGTCTCAAGCTGAGAACAGGACATCACTGTGAAGAAGAAGGCTAGAGGTGTTGATATACAAACGTAACATGGATGTTGATATAGACCAAAGTTGTGACGAAACATGGAAATTAGAGAATTTTTAGTCAACTTCAAATTGTTTTAATGAAACATATTACATTTTATGCAGTATTTGTATTCAGATAGGATTACCTTATTAGTATTGGCTAGAGTCTAGCAATAATTTAGTTCCAATTTCTTTACCGGTTCTTTTAAATACACAGAGCTGGGATCAAAGGATCCAAGTTTCAAGGTAACATTTTGGTTTAGGGTGGGGTTGTTTTATTCAATTAAGATATGTAACTTCCAACGTTTGGTTCTTTGTTTAATATTACAGCATTTTGTATAGATATACTGTGGATTTTGTTTGAGTTGCAATGGTGGTAAATACAAGTATGGGAAGTTTATTTATTATGTTTAGGGAATCTGGTTTCCAATTTTCTTTCAGTTTCTCTGATGTAGAATTCTGGACATTTATTGCACATTATCTTATAAATTGATACTAAAATCATGCACTGAAAACTAACAATGAAATGCTTCTTGATAACTGCCAGACTCGTGAACATTCAAAGTGACTCCATTAAATGTGCAAAACAAACAAAGATGGACAATTTTTTATGAAATAAATTTTGTGTCAGTTTGTAATATTTTATACGTATGTAATAAAAATGTGATACATGGATGTTTATGAAATAAATGTGATTGATGAATAAATTATTTTACATAAAACACAAAACAATTTTAAGTTATTTTATTGAACTGTTATCCATCATAACTATTATTATACAGTGTACCAACTTGCCAAGTTATCTGAGTACCTATACAATATATAAACCATTATGCTCAACCCCTGGGGATAGCAACTGGCACAGCTTGAACTCGATCGTTCATTATCTGGTTAATGATTATTTGAATAATGACTTCCTGTCAGATATGACTTATTTATCATGGCAGACAGGTCGGTCGTATCTAAGTGGGACTACTGTAGTTTTGTCTTTGTCTTTATAAACAATGTGTACATCTGAACCTAACAAAAGTGATGAAGGTCACATTTCATTCAATATGTTTTGTTAATCATATCAATTAGTCTACTACTGTAGTAAAAAAAAAAAAAATTACTTCATAGTTGTTCTCTGCCTACCATGAGTCACTGTCAAAGTGACCTTTCATTCACTACCAGAAAAACAGTAGTCAAAATGCTATTTGTATAAATTACAAGAAACTTTCATGTTAGGATTAAAATGCTCAAGCTATAAAAAGTAATGACTTAAAAGGCCTAACAAAGTGATGAAAAACCACACTTATCATGTTCCTCCATAACAAATTTCAAATCAGAAGTTTTTAAACATCAAGCCTCTTTACTTCGCTAGTTTTACAGCAAAAAAACTAGCTGAGAAAAAGTTTTAACTTATATACAAAAAGTGCTAGTAAATACAGTAACATTATTCAACAATTAGAGCAAAAGACGCTGGTATCCAAACTGCTGAATCTACTCATCATCTCTATGCTTGTCTTTATAAGCATACTATACCTTTCCTACTTCTAATGATAATAATAATAAAAAATATCCCAATACAGATTTTAACAACAACAAAAATTTGTAAATGAATACTTCTACTTGTATTATATGTTTTAAATACATTTACCTTCTTTTTCCACTTGAACTAGCTTTAGCAATGATGATGCTGCCAACCAGTAAGATTCCACATAAGGACTTAGAATACAACGATAAAACTGAAGTGTTTCTAGGCTTTCTTCACTCAGCATAATCTTCAAAAACAATTATAATTTATGTTAAACTCAAAATATAAAGAAAGTTTCATGAGAAAAGTAGGAATGTATCCCAGACCATTTTAACAAACTTCAGCTGGACTGTGACATTTCATGAGAAAAGTAGGAATGTATCCTAGACCATTTTAACAAACCATTATTTTGTTTTTACCTAAAGTCTGAGAAGGCACTTGTTTTAAGCTTATATAATAAGTAACTTATTCTGTTCTGATACAATACTATTTGTCAGCATGATAATACAGCTACGGAAGACCTATATATAAAATCCACGCAGTGACCAGGCATACACCATCTACTTAAAGACAGCCTCAAGCAGTATGGTCTTAGAATTACTGTTTTGAAAGCTGCTGAGTTGCATGAAGAAGCATCACTCCAAAGGAATGGCCAGTAAAATGTAATTAATAATACTAAAACAAACAGAACATATATTTCTTAAGCAGTCACAGCCAACCCATAATCCTTTACCACGGTTTAAAGCTATGATGTATCTAATACAGAATTCATTAATTGACAGACATTGACTGACTCATGTTTTAAATGAACCATTCTATATGCTTTACAATTTCTTCAGTAATGATTCCATTAATTTTCAGTTTTGAAGTAGTTATCCTAGATAAAAATCACTGCTATATCCTAAAAGTTACAAAATAACTCTCTTTACACAAGTCACAACAGGAGGAAAAACAAGAAGCCAACCATAAGATACAAACATAATTATTCTTTTGTTATCAGATATATTTAACTACAAAGTTTAATTTTTAATATCATCTAGATATATATAATTTATGTCTAACATTAAGGGTTTTTTTGTAGGTGATTCTATTAGGGGAGCACATGGATAAGTCATATCCGCTCTCTAACTAATGTGATATTATTGTTTCTTCCAATGTAATGAAACTTTTCTGAGTTGGAATTGGTTGATGAGCAACCACAATCATATTGATACAAACATTAATTTGTAACATTAAGTGAATAATCAATTCCTACAGGAGAGCCATCTTTTTTTATCTTTTGGCTTTATCATGTAATAATACAAAATTATTAAATACAATAACTAAATAAAGCATGGCATTTTGTTCTTGTTAAAAGTTTTAAGCAGTCAAACAAAGATGAATGTAAACTTTTAACTCGTGCCATTAACTATATTTCCCAAGCACTAGTTTTTAAACAGTACTGTACATAATACACCATTAACCTTTTGTTTAGCTATTTTAATCGACTATTTAATAAAACTGTAAACGATTTAATACATTTCTACACAGCTTGTTATATCAAGAGCCGACAAGGCCTTTTACCAACAGCAGGGCTCTTCAGGCCACATTGGATACGACACACATAGTAATGGTTGGGACTTTATTTATTAGGGAATTGCTTGAACAAAAAACTGTTATGGTTAGAGCTGGATTAAGTTGGTAAAATGTAATTTTTCATCCTGGAGCAAATCTGTTAGTCATTAGATACATTTTAATGCTTAATGCTCACAGAACATTTAATTAATATGTCTACATATACCTTATTACCCATAATACAAATTTAAAGTTCAGTGAAACTACCTGCAACCGCTGATCCTGGATCACAATTAAGTCATCTTCACTTTCTGAACTCTCTTCCCATTCCATATGTGAAGCAACTCTATTCATCCAGGCCTGCTCCATATGGTCTCCTACTCCAGCTACCATCTGACAATTTTATTAAGATAAACTTATGGCTATAATAATTATTTCTCAACTTATTAAAGACAAAATTATTCAAAGTTTTCTTAACAATATTGGCAGAGTACTTATACTGGATATTATTAATCTGTTTTTTTTCAGAAAATACCAAGAGACTGACACTGGGCATAGGATGGATGTCTCAGCTAGGAAAAACTTGACATAAAGAAGAACTATGTAGAGAGATGGGTATATAGTGTTTGAATTATCAGCAGTCACAATTGACTGAGTCTGTTCATTCACAGCAGAGCATGAGATATAAAAGGAGGCTACTGTCAAGAAACATAGCTATCAAATAGAGCATGATGTGGCAACATGGACTGTAACAATGTGGTGAGACTCCACAATAGTGTTAATTTAAAGTATGTTTTAACTGCTGTACAGCTTTTCTAAAACATTAGTTGTCTTCCCTGTAAAAAAAAAAAAAAGATTGAATTTTTTTTATTTTATAAATAGTTTTGGAGTTTTGATAATTTTAAAAGCTTTTATCATAAACTGATCCTTCTATTAACCCAAATCCTACATGAAAAAAAAAAAGAAGTCTATAGAAAAGTTGTGTAAATGTGATTAAACAGTGCTGGGCAAAAGATAAAATCAAAGCAAATGATAGAAAACATTAACTAAATCAAAGGAGAACAAAGATTTTTCAAAGGCATTTTAAATTAACTTAACCCTATCACTCTGGGTCACGTTTCAAAGGCCATTTCATCGCATTTGTTGACTTGCATTCAAGATTTTATTGAATTACTATTTTATGAATTTATGTCAATAAGTCTGGTATCAAATTGTAGATTATAATTAAAATTTTTTGTATTATATGTTAATTAATTTCCTAATTTAAAAGTAAATATTAAGAAAACACAGTTAAACATCAAATTTTGTGTGTCACATAGTATGTTGAATGCAGCACTGGATCAAATCAGATGTTTGTGATGTCGAAATACAAAGTCTATAGTTTCGTACGAATTAGAAAATCAAAATTCCAATATTGACAAGCTAGAATATAAAATAAGAACCTTTTATATTCTATATTTGCTAAGATATTGCTCATGTACTGAATCAAATACTGTGGCCTCCCACCCACCTCTTTCCATTTTTAGAAATGCTCCCTTATATACACTTACTTCTATAATAACCAATCAAAAGCTTAGAATGTCCCCCTAGTTGGTTTCTCAGCCATTTTCGTGTGTTAGGACACCATCTCGTTCTTTCAAACGGAAATTTATGATTTTTTAAAGCTATTTAAAATGTATATATAAAAACCTTAAAAAATTTTCCTTTTGACATCCTCCATGTCAGAAATTTCAAAAGGCTTAGCAGCCTACAACAAGCAGCAAACTAGTACAAAGGTCATAACTATAAATGTTTGCTCTATTTCTTTATTTATTTTTAAATGTTTTAAGAAAAATAAGTTTAAGAACTTATTTGTAACTAATATTAATGTATATACATGTATAGTGTATAATAACTGAAATGTGACAACAAAATACTAGTCCAATAAAACATAGCCAAGACAAGTCACTTCGTAAAGGCCAGTTTTATATTATGTGCCTCATCATTGTAGCTTCTATATTGTTAGTTAGGCATGGCTGAAAGGTCAATATAATAAAAATAATTAATATATATAAATGTATAATGTTATGAGATTTAAGCTATTTAGACTAAACATTTGTGTTTTTGTGTTACAATCTGTAGTCATTCTAGAACGAAAAAAAAGCATAATTTAAATTTATTTCCCAATCTTTTATGGTGGTTATGAGACCAGCCAAATTGACAGACCCCATAGAGTTAGGGTAGAGAAAAAAACAGAAAAAATATAGTTTTACTGAAAACAAACATCTGATATGTATTTAGGAATTTTAGAAATTACACAAATAATATTTTGGGACGAATAATAGTTTTTTTAGTTATAACATGAAAATCACTTTGCACTTGGACTGGTAACGAAACAGACTCGATATTTTCCCAAACAAATCTATAATAAAAATACTTCATTAAAAAATCTGATATTTTTATGTACGAAAGACTTGTAATTTTTACTAAAAGTCTACCAAATTCTGCGAAGATACACTTACTGCATTAAAAGCTATAGTATAAATAATTAACTTGTGTATATTATACTGAGTCCATTCCCAAATGGTTAAGTACAGAGCATACTAAAAGTATTCATCCAAATATCTTTAAAAAAAATTAACATAAGATGCCAAAACTGTGTAGATATAATTAATAGTAACAAGTTGCGATACACTTAATTATGCTTCTTCACGTTCACTGATAGCAAAAAAAGCTTTTAATGGCGAATACTGTAAAAGATTTACAAAGTTCACATATAACAGCTTGCAAGTTATATACAAAAACTCCATAAAAAGTATTGCAGGAGAAAGAAACCTATTATCCATTTTTGCCAAACAATCTGAACTGAGTTGTGACAAATATAATACAAAGAAGTTGTAGCAACAGAACTTGTAACACACTGTCACTATTTACGTAGGGGATCAAACACTTTTATACTGACCTGCCACCTGATGACAAGAATCACAACAATACAACCGTGGAAAGTTTTAGCACCTTTACTTTCAGTTTTTAAAAATATTACTCTTTGATTAATAATTTTTGAGCACTCTATATTACTAATACCAAACTTATCAGATGTGCCAAATCCTTCCTTAACTATGTATGTTATTAAATATATTCTCCTCCTTTTGAAACAGTACAAACTGATCCTGACAAGGATTCCATGAATACAGTTAAATAAAAATCAAATTCTTAAAATACTGATTAGAAATACTAGTTTTATGAAGAGCAGTTTGACAACTTCAGAGTAAACTTTGGCTATAGTTTACAGAATATTTATGAAATGAGACTTTTGAGTTTGAAAAACTAACATACCTGACTTTGTAATAGTATTTCACTTGACAATAAATGATCAACAGTTTCATTTATAACACTGAAGAGGTCACCACATGGCTGAAAAAACACAGTAACACTATTAACAGGATCAATTGTAGTGTTATACATAAGGAACTGGCAATTTTTACACATTTAAGTTTTGTAAGTTTGACAAAAAAATGCTTAGAAATTATCCTATTTCATAATCTATAACTAAAAATAAAAACATTCTGAATGAGATGTTACTGATTCCCATAATTAATATTTGCTATGATTATAAATTATTAAAATTCTATGTAGTGCAAACATTTAAGCTTTAGAATTTTGATGGGATTTATATCAGTTTTTAGTGTTATACAGTGAATATGTTCAGTTTAAAGTTTATTCAAGAATCTCGATCAATGTATTGACAGACTTACAGGAGTGAATATGAATTCATATTGCAAGACATCACACAGCATTAAGGCTTTCTTCACAAGCTGCTCTCTGGATACAAAGAACCTGCTATCACAACCACGCCATGAATCAAGATTTTTGTCCACAATGGCAAACAAAGCATTTGCTGAAAAATATAATAGAAATTTTACAAATAACAAACAGCTTCCAAGTTTGAAAACACCAAAAACAATTAAAAGAAAACAAACATAAAACACATAATAGTGATTTATTTTCACTTTTTCAAACATAAGACTTTTACAATTAACCATGTCTTCAGTCTTGATCTTGTCTTTCAAGTTCATACAACAACTTTGAGGGATAAAAATGTATGCAATCATTGACAAAACAAACATAACTTAATTAAACAAATTCAATTTTGCACATCTCAAGCTACACAGTGCTAGTTCAAATCAGTACAGCAACAAACACAGATATACAAAATAAGGTACATATCTAACTTGGATACAAATTGTGTCCATGTACAAAGTTAGTAGATTCTTGTTTTCTTGATGACAACAGTTATGAAACATAAATAACAAAAAAGGAACATACCACACTATTAGGTAAATCAAAAACTATGCTACAGTAATTTTTTTTTATCTATCTGCAACCATCAAAATTGTTTTTAAGTTATTTTAAAAGCAAGAAATTAAAGTATAAACTTACTTACCCAAAACACTTTCTATTAAAAACACAGACACCACAGAGTTGGAATAATACTGAAGCTCCAGAACATGAGGAAGTCGAATTACAGGTTTGTGAAAGACAATTCTTATGTTGCTTTTTTCTTTCTCTGAAGACCAGGCCATCTCAATTGTTTCTATTGTTACTAGATTCTTAGTCAGAAGAGTAGAAGCATGCCTAATAATGTCAGAACATTCACCTGTAAACCCAACATCTCGCTTCCGATCGATGATCTCACCTCGTAACCACGTTAAACTTTGACACAACTGTTGAAATGTTGCACCCTAACAAGCGAAAGATAAACTTGAAATTGATATCTAATTATCCTTTGATTTGTATTCAAGTTTATACTAATCTTTAATGTAGACTTTTAAGATACAAGTTGTAAATTAGTTCTTTGTGTTAAAAATATATAAAATTCAATCAGGATTCTGCAACACAAAGGTTTGACATAAAGCTCATCACACCAACATTCCAAGTAGACTGCACATACTGACTTTACTATCATTCACACTGAAAGTGTACTAGTTGCTCTACATAATATTTACAAAAAAGCACCTCATCCAAGGCCACTATTAACTCAGAAGCCTGAAATTTCATTGCATCTCAGTTCTCTCTTATCACTGTATATTCACATGAAACTTACTATAGTAATAAACCATGCAAACACCAAAATAACAATTACATGCACACACTTTGTCTCCAAGTGAACTTTTAAATGTGTGTACATATTTAAAGTCATATTACTTAGATTTCACCAAAATTTATATCACAAAGATAACACATTTACTTGACAAACTACCTGTAACCATGTGTAACATATCTTACAAAGATGTACGTTAATTCCACTTTTGATACTATATTATGCTACTATTTATTATTTGTTTTTTACTTCCCTATTTTCATGAATATTAGATTGATTTTAAAGCCAATTAATTGTATTTTAGCCAATGTTGTCAAATGTTCATACAGAATATGCCTTATTCCCCCATATCAAAAGTCTGATAATATGCAAATCAAACATCACACTTCAAATCAAGAACCTCTCCTCATAACTATAATTTAGCTTAAAATATAACACATCATATGGTAAAGCACATACCTCTAAAGAGATATACAGAATATATCTTACCTTACGATGCTTTGTTAAATACAAGAAAGCCAATAAATTTGTACTCATTAAAGCTGTGGTGTGAAAGGCATCTGAAAACAAGAATAGCTGGGAGTTTTTATCACTTACTTTATCATTTAATTAACAAATTCATTGATACAATATAAATATTCATATTCAAAATATTATGACTTCAAATATCAATCAAGACTGATTCGAGCAAATCTTTATAAACAATATTCATTATCACATGATACAACTTAATACTGGAAAAAATAAAATAAGAAGTCACCACAAGCAAGAAAAACAATGGAAAAATACAAAGTGTAAACATTGATTTTCTAAGATAATATTTGAGATTTAATCAATTAAAAATCTTTAATTTTGCTTCACTGATTAACCCTACTGAGACAGGTCTTCCTATGATCACAAGTCAAATAAAGGCCATGTCATCTCATTTTGTGTGTCACGTGGTATGTTGAATGCAGCATTGGTTCAAATTAATGTTTGTGATGTCCAAATACAAAGTCTGTAGTTTATTACAAATTAGATACTCCAATTACTGATATGGACATGCTAGAATACAAAGATAAGGACCTCCTATATTTTCTATTTTCTTAAATATCAATATATTTATTGAATCAACCATGGAGGCTCTGCCCACCTCTTCAATTTTTGAAAACGCTTGTTTACGTACACCTACTTCACCCAATGACATCTATATAGCCAATTAAAAGCTCAGAACATCCCCCTAGTGGTTTACTAATGGTTTTTCTCAGCCTCTGTGAAGCATTTGCTTAGGAAACTCTTTCTTTTCATGCTAGATTCCAAATGTTAAAGTTCAACACTAGTGATCTCAAAAAATCATATTTTCTTAGACCCAATTACAGCTTAGTTACTAAGCTTGGTAAATAATAGTGGAATTCTATGGTACTGATATAGAAATTTATGATTTTTTATTATTTCAAAATGCATATATAAAACCTTAAAAAATTATTTTGTTTTACATCTTCCACGTGTAAAATTTCATAAGGCTTAGCAACTTATGGCAAGCAGCAAATGAGTACAAAGTTTGTAACTAGAAGAGATAATTGTTTTCTATACTTCTTTATTTACTGTTCTATGTTCTTAAAAAAAATAAGTGAAACTTAAGAGCTTATTTATAAATAGTAATAATATATAAGTCACATTTTGGTTATAATACATTATATGTGTGGTGTTTTGTAGAACACAGCTAAAATAGGTAACTTTGTAAAGGCCAGTTTTATATTCTTGGATACGGTAACATGAGTGCACACATCATTGCAATTTATGTAATGTTAGTCAGGCACTGCTGTAAGGTCAATAAAATAAAAATAATAAATATATATGTATAATGTTATTAGAATTAAGCTATTTAGACTAAGCATTTGTGTTTTTATGTTATAATTCATAGTTATTCAAGGACAAAAAAAGTATAACTTATATCTATTTCCTAATTTTTTATGGTGGTTACAAAGTCAGTCAAATCAACCAAACCCACACAGAGATAAAATAGTGAAAATTAACAGATAAAATATACAGGTTTTTCTGAAAAAAAAAAAAACGTTTGATAATTATCTGGAGGTTATAAAGATTTTGCATGTGAAATTTGAAAATTTTGTGATGCATAAAAGTATTTTTATTTTAATCTTAAAATCAAAAATTACTTTGCATTTTGGATAGTCAAGATTCAAAAAGAAAAAATGTATGAAAGAAATATTACTTAAAAAATCTTAAACATAATAAAAAATTCTGATATTTAGCAGATATGTGAAAGCCTTGTAATGTTTACTGATAATCTGCAAAATTTCGTGAAGATATGCTTACTGTATTAAAAGTTATAACATGAAAATGGTTATGAGGTGAGTCCCATAACAAGATAATAGTCTGATAATAATTCAAGTATAACTTTTACACACACACACACACACACACAC